GTTGTTATCAGTGTCTCAATTAACCCCTCATGTGGCAAACAGGCAGTATGAGTGGCAGAAGCCTGCTTATAACGTTCTCCATCTGGGTACAGAGAACAGCTGCTTGTTCAGATGCAGCTGACCCATCTCAAAAGCCCCATATTTCAGCATATGGTATTCAAAGCAGAAAATAGGTGGCAAGAGTGCCCGGTGACCAAAAGGAGCAGTAAGGATTTCCTTTAAGAAAGATCCAGCTTGAACAATGAGAGAAACACAGAGCTGAGATTACAAGGTCAGTCGCCTCATCTTTGCTATATTACATATGGGGAGATTGCAGCCTAGTGAATAGGGTGTTGGACTGAGTCAGGATACAGGGGCTCTAGTTCAGGATCTGCCACTGCCAGGATCTGCCACATGCCTCAGTTTCCTCATCTGTGAAGTGGGGTTAATGATGCTTCCTCGCCTTTGTAACACGCTTTGAGATCTACAGATGGAGAATGCTATATAAAAGAACTACTATTGGTCTTTGTCTATAGGGGAAGCCTCCTTTAGCCCTAACACCAATTCCCTCTAAGCTAAGACTCCGGAGACTCTGCTGCCCATTACAATATGTTGTAACAAACTGAGAATTGCGCTCTTTTTCACTGTCCAACAGCATCTCACTTGAGTAGGTGCCAATGTATTTGGGAACCTGATCCTGCAAGATACTAACAGCCCTCAACTCATCCTGAAGAGGTGCTGTGCAATGAGTACCATCAACTCCCATAGGGCCTTAAATTTGTAACATCTGGCTGCTTCCGAGCAAGACTGAGTGGATTACAATTGCTTCTAAAGTGTGGAAGGGGCACTCATGTTAAGTATTAGACAACCAAACAATTCCATCTAGACGCTTATACAGCCCCAATCACTGTAGTAGCTGAGCACTGCACATTCAACATCCCATCTTCACATCACCCCTGTAAGGGAGGGAGGTATCCCCATTTTACAGGGAACCATGGCTTAGAAATGCCAACGGACTAGCCCACATCCTCAGAACAAGGAATTGAGCCCAGCTTTCACGAACCCTAGGCCACGGCCTTACCCACAAGACCCAGAGCAGAACCTATGATGGAAATATATCCCCACCCTACCCCGCCCAGATTAATATTTAAACAGGACAAAACACGTGAGCATCAATCACCAAAGAAAAAGAGCAAATGGAGTGGGGAAAGTTTGTTAAGAAGTTTATGATGGGATTTGTCCCTTAGTGACACAACAATTCGGCGACTCGGTATTAGTGATCGATTTGAACCGAGCTCTCAGTTTGGACACGTGCAGCAGCAGCGCTAAGCTGACAGCAAGGGCCAGATTCTGCTCTCACTTAGGCTGACGGCAACAGGAGTAACTCCCTGGAGCCGACGGAGCGAGAGGAGAATCAGGCTCTAAGACGTTCAGGCTGCCTAACTCTCAGATCCTTTTTAGGCTATGGGATCTCAACCACAGGAACAAACTGAATCTAACCAAAAAAATAATATTCACCCCTGCTGAGCAGTTAAGAGATGGAAGAACCTGTATGATCAGACAACTCCTCTCCCTGCAAAAGATATAGTTCCCCTGAGAGAAATCCCTCTGCTGAATCTTTGCCCAAAGGCATAGGAGCAGCAGTAGACTGGCAAGTCACTATGCATCGTTGGATGAAACATTACATAGCACCCAGGGTAAAGTTTAGAGCTTTACTGTTTAAAAAGCAGAAGATGCAGCAGCTCCAGGAAAAGCACCAAGATTCCTTTGACACTGCAGTTACTAGGAAGGCTAGCGAAACCAGAGACCAGTTCCGGATGGGATTTGGCATAGGGTCCGTACGAGTACATTGATATGGCTAGCAGAAACCCACGGCAGCAAATCTCAGAGCTCGGGTCTATGGCACTAAAAACAGCTACGTAGACATTCGGGCTCAGGCTGGAGCTCGGGCTCTGAAGCCCGGGGATGAGGGTGAACTTCACAGCCCAAGCCACAGTGTCTACACTGCTGTTCTGAGCATTGTGGCGCCAGTCCCGTGAGTCTGTAGACCCGGACTCTGAGACTCACTGCTGCAGACACACCCTATGACAGCTCGGTGTCAGTGACACCAAAGTCACAGGAGCTGTTCTCATGAGACTGTAACCCAAAGACATAGACGCTCCGGGGCTCAGCTGGGCTTGCCAGATGCCTGCAACGCTGCTCAGAAAGGTGGATGAGTCACAGCGATGGAACAAACCCTTCCATACATGCTAGGACATAACAGCATCGTAGCTGTGCTACACTACAGTAGACAGGACCACAGACAGAAGCAGCGGGGAGGGGGGAACTCAAAGCAGCAGCAGAGCAGCTGGAGATGGGAGGAGAAATGGAGACAGGTGCCTTCTTCTATGGCTCAGTTCCTCCTCCCTTTCCCTCTCCTGGATGCTGGCCACCTGGTCCCAGGTTGGTCGTTTCTATTCAAAAATCTTTATAGTGGTGCCAGTGAGGTCACCACGCTCTTTGGGCCAAAGAGCCACTCTGGGACACACACAAATACAGGTCCAGTGAAGTCAGAGTGGAATTTGCCCCATAGTCTTCCAGATCCTCTATATACCCCAAGCTCACCCAGCTGCAGCTGATCTCCTGTCTCAGCAGTCGCAGACCCATTCCCCACCCCTTTGCCTGCACAGCTGCCGCTGGTTCAGCTCTCCCAGAGCAGCAAGGTTGGGAGAACCAGTGTCATTAAGACACCAGCTGCTGCCAGCATCTCAGCCATCATGTCTCCTGTACTGTGCAGGATCTGTCTAATCAACAGAGTTACTTCACACCCCAGCCACCTGGCTACCTTAGGGCTCCCCAATGTTCAGCTCTGCTGGAGGGATGTCAGCAACTGCGGGAAACCATTGCCAAATTTCCTTCTCGTGTATCCATTCCATGTCACCCTCTGCACGTAATTGACTTTAAACCAGAAATCCTTCTTTTCTCCCTAACCTAAGCCTCTCAGCGCTCTCTTTAAAGGAACAATCAAATCCTACACCCGGTTTCCCTACAGTCATTTATCTAGAAACTTTACTAACAAAAACAATGAGGAGTCCAGACTCCTCGTTTTTGTGGATACAGACTAACAGGACTACCCCTCTGATATTTACTAACAAACACGCTCTGCTCATCAGCACTGCTGTCACTATTATTGTAGGTTAGCACCCAACAGCCCCAACCAAGATCAAAGACTAGCCATGCACCTGTAAGACCCAGTCCCCTGCCCTGCCCTGGAGAACTTTGAGTTTAACAGCAATATGCTCCCTGTATCTTATCTTTTGATCTGCAGTTTCCTTGTGTTTGTATCAAAGTTTAATCAGATGAGAAATGCCTTTGATTTTTATCTGAACAATTACGGTACAAAGCTATGGCCAGATCCTGCAGGGTGCTGAGTGCTTCCTACACCGCACAGGCTTTCAAAAGTAGAAGGCCCTCAGTACTTTACAGTTTAGGGGACCAAGCCTGCAAACGGAGGCAATGTATCCTAGTGGACAGAGCTCTGGATTGGGACTCAGGATATCTGGGTTCTGCTCCTGACTCTTCCACTAGACTGCTGGGTGACCTTGGGCAAGCCACATTCCCCTCTCTATACCTCATTTTTCCCCCATCTGTAAAATGGGAATAATGATACTGACCTCCTTTGTAAAGTGCTTTGAGATCTACTGATGAAAAGCTCTGAGTAACAGCTCGGTATTATTCTTATTTTTAAGGTGGTCATGGGCCTAATTCTCCTATTAAACCAATTTCACCAAGATAAATCTACTGCATCTACACTGACATCAAACTGATGTAGTCAAAAAAAAATGCTTGCCAGGTGGTTTTTCCTCTGTCTAGTGGCGAGCCTGGAATTGGGATGAACAGTCTTCGCCCAGGATCCCAGCCGTTGTCCTTCAATCTGTCGGGTATTTGTGAACCACTCAGTGCACAGCAGAACCTTGCATCTCGGCAACTCCGGCATACATAAGGGGCATTTGGAACGTTGCTGAAAGACATCCAGATCCTGTCCCAGCACGCAAGGATCCAATACCAAGTCTCCTAGCCAAAAGACTAGTTTGCTCCTCACTCACAAATCCCATAATTTTCCTTGCCGGGCGGTGAGCAGCACGTTTTCTAACATCTCTCAGGACCTCAACCCCAGCTGATTTATTTATTCCTGATCCTGAATGCTTTAGACAGATGTTACATCAGCAAATCAGTTTTAAAGGTAATCTGGTGATTGCATGGAGATCACAACAATCGGAAAGAGAGTAATAAGCTGCCACGGCTAGCAGATCTGGGAGAACAAAGCTGTTAGCCATGGGAGGAGTTTGTTGCATCTATCTAGGCTCTTATATCAGCACCCATCGTTGTAATAGCTGAGCACTTTCTGGGCACTCCTATGCTAGGATAGTGATTCACCAAGATCTTAGAAATCTGTCTTTTTTGGGGGAGGGATAACTCAGTGCTTTGAGCATTGGACTGCTAATCCCAAGGTTATGAGTTCAATCCTTGAGGGGACCATTTAGGGAACTGGGGTAAAAATCTGTCTGGGGATTGGTCCTCCTTTGAGCAGGGGGTTGGACTCCTCCTGAGGTCCCTTCCAACCCTGATATTCTATGATTCTATGATAGTGGCTGGCAGGAAGCGTTCAGTTAAAAGGCTTGACTGTGCGTGTGTATTATGGGGAACTAAGGTTTTTCCATGGTCACTCTGAGGTCAGTTAGCCTGCTGGCACTACCAGCCCCTTGTGTTCTACCCAGGACTGTTTCTGTCCTGCAAGAAGAGGCATTCTCAGCTTGCAACCCCAGTGTGAGTTAGGAGCAACTCTCTTCAAGTCAAGAGAATTACACCACCAGGGCAGGTTGGAGAAGAACTGAGCCCTTCATTCTCCAATTCAAACACAACAGGAGGACAAAACAATCGGGAAAAGGGTGTAGAGAGGAACAAATAAGGAACAGAAGAGCTCATTCCTCCACCCCCACCCACACTGTATGCAGAACAAGCGATTCTTTGCAGCACTTTACCTGTCCCATCTGGGGTTGATCTCACAAACGAGGGCAACATTTTCACTGACGCTGTGGGGTTGGTGTCCGCTCCGAGACCCTTCTCCATCTCCTTTCGGAAGCGCTCAGACACCTCTTGGAGCGTTTCATCGGAGAGCCGCATGTGATAGAGGTATTTGTCAATCTGAAAGGTGTAGGAAAGCCAGTGGGTCAGCGTGGGGGTCAGGCATTGTGGTTGGACCCATGAGAACATTACCCAACCACGGTTCATCGGTGGGGACTGAACCAGAGACCCTCAGCACCAGTGCACACAGACTTCTCTCAATGGAGCAAAAGGAGTAACTCTTTTGGCAATAGTAGGCTATTGTCCTCTCTATGGACCAGCCACTAGCATGGTACATTTCCAAACAGATGTAGCACGGTGTTTGAGAAGGATCAAATCAACACCTCAACTCATATCACAACTCATCCGCTGAATTGAATCACTACAGATAATACTTTGTGCTTCCCACATGCCTTCCTTCTTAGCGTTGCAGCGCTTCTCACATTAAGGAAGCAAGCCTCACAACCCCCAGGCCGGTCAGGATTATCCCCATTGAATAGAGGGGGAAACTGAGGCACGCAGCCACATGGTCTGCTCTTCAGAGTTGCCAAGCACCCGTCGCTCTCACCAAACATTAATTGGAGCTTCTGGTGCTCAGCACCTCTCAAAAAATCAGGCTCTCTGTTACTCGTCTGTGGCCACGCAGAGAAAGTGAGGCAGAAGCAGGAACTGAATACAAGATCCTCAAAGGCCATCCAATGCCTTAGCTACCAAGACTCTCCTCCTTAAGGCCTCTGAAACTAGCCAGCCTGTCAGTCTCTAGGGGGTGTCAATTTTATAGCAGCAGGGAAGGGTAAGCTGCTGGCCTCTCCCTGCAGCCGAGAACTCCATGGCAAAGTTAGGTTCAGACTTTTCCACTCAGGGCTTCCTTTATTATTAAAACATAATAAAACAGTTAGAGTTGCACAACTAAACCCAGTCTTTTCCCTGACCCTAAGATGGAGATGGCCTGCCCCGATTGAAAACATCCCTCCAGTTTAATTACTTGGTTTAAACAAATTAAAAAGGCAGGTTCAAGTGTCGGGGAAGTCAGAGGAAAACTCCACCCACTCTGCTCACATAAGGCAAAGAGGATACTTCACCAGAAATTAAGTGGGAGGCTTTTAAAAGCGCTGTATTGAAAGAGACAGTTGGCATTCCATAGGCCAGCAACATCCAGCTGGCTGAGAAGTGACCTCATTCATGGACGTGGCCATATGACCACTAGGGTGAGCAAAAGAAGTATAATTTTAAGGGCTGCTTTTTTAAAAAATTCCTTGTGCGTTTTTGGCCACACTGCTTCCTAGTTGCTGATGCATTTGGGGCCAGATCCTCAGCTGGTGTAAGTCAGCTTAGTTCCATTCAAGTCAGTGGCTGTACACCAATGTACACCCCTGTGAGAGCTGTCCTTTAAATAGCAAACATATCTTTGCTATCCAGCCAGAATAGTCTTACTTCCTAAGGAAAAAATCTTGTGAGCTGAATAAAGTCACAAAAAGAGGCCAGCGGAGGACAAGCTGACAGGCAGATGTGAAAATGCAAATAGTGACATCTGAAAGGGCTTCTCAGAGCAAGCTAGACAGGATTCCTTTATGTGGCCTTTAAATACCATAAAGCGGGGAAGCCAAATACTTACCTCTGCTTACCCAGCTATGTACTTTCACTCACAGGAAATTAGTTCCAACACAGCCCACATACCAATGCTACGGTAATAGCCTTTAGTTATGTGCCCCTCCTCCCACTCGGAGTGGAAAAAAGCATGAGAGACAAAGCACATGCCCAAATCCACATTTTGCAAGAGTTCAGGATCTAGGGCTCTGGGCCTGTCTCATCTCCAGACTGATAAGATGTTTGGACATGCTGGAAAGTCAAAACAAGAGCACAGCCGGGGCAATTGGGAGCGTGCTTGGTTTTTGAAGTCAGATTAGCCAGGCTGTTTGTAACACTTCAGCCTTCAAAGCCTGCAGGAGCATTTAGCAGTTTATGCATTTGACACAGGGCAGGCGGCACAATATTATTTCTCAGCCATGAGCTTAATGCAGGAGTAATGAAGTCATTGTAAGTACCCCGCACCGCGGGCGGCTGGTGTTCTTCAGTTGTGCCCTTTTGTAGTCTCCTTGGGAGAAGCCAGCTGTGCAGTTAACCAAGAACTAGGGTGACCAGACAGCAAGTGTGAAAAAATCAGGACAGGGGGTGGAGGGTAATAGGAGCCTATATAAAAAAAAGACCCAAAAATCAGGACTGTCCCTATAAAATCAGGACATCTGATCACCCTACCAAGAACGAACCCATCCTAGACGCAATCTAGCAGGAAGATTTCACATGGGGTTTTCATCATGAGAACTAGACTTGCACCCCAACACCCTCAATTCTTGAAGATCCATTATCATCACACCCTGGTCCGCTCTTTAGTTAGCAGCACAGGCCATTTCGGGGAGCCCAGTCAGGCCATCCTCACCAGAGACGCACCCCCTCCTTCCCAGGCCAAAGTATTTATTTTTCCTCCCTTTCCCCACTTCGCTGCTGATCATTCTCTCTCCCGTTGCCCCAGGGCTAGATGGTGCTGCTGGTGGAAAAATCTTCCCTTCCCCACATTGTAGCCAGGTGCTTTCCAATCACTTGCAAGCTGAGATCCACAATATTTGCTCTTCCACCTCCACCTATGGCAAGGTACGGCGAGCAGAGAGCATGCAATATGCTTGCCCAACAGCAGACGCCGCCGTGCCCAGTTTGTGACTACATGGTGTTGCGCCTTGGCTGATCCCCACAACTCTCTCTCACTACACGTCTGGTGCTTGCCAAGATCCTCATGTGCTTACGATTCCACAGTATTAAAAATAATCAGCAGTGTCAAGAAGTGGGGTGACCTTCCTCTAATTCCACAAAGCTCTTTAAAGCCTGGATCCATCAGCTCCTACACATTTAGACTGAGGCTACTAGCCATTAGTCTACCTTCTAGCTAACACAGACAAGGCTGTAAACCATGCTATCCCAAAGCCAATCTGGGGAATAGCATTAAATGTTTTTTTTAAAAAAGAAGAATATGTCAGCAACTACATGAGCTAGGTTAGAGAAATGGCCAAGTTTGGTTTCAAACTGAGGTCCCATCCAGCAAATAGTCCACGCAGCTGAGGTATTAAGGCCCCAATTCAGCAAAATACTTCAGCATGTGCTTTACCCTAGTGATTTCAGGGACTATGCCGGGTGGAACATCACCAAGAAACCATGACTGACCATTCTCATGGAGCTCAGAGTTATAAGCAAGTGTTTTGTTGAATCAGGGCCTAAGGATATGTCCACACTACCCGCCAGATCAGCAGGTAGCAATCGATCTACCGGGGATCGATTTATCGCGTCTCGTTTAGACACGATAAATCGATCCCCGCCGCACACCCCGTCGACTTTGGAACTCCACCAGAGCGAGAGGCGGAAGCGGAGTCGAAGGGGGAGCCGCGGCCATCGATCCCGTGCCGTGAGGACGGGAGGTAAGTCGACCTAAGATACGTCGACTTCAGCAACGCTATTCTCGTAGCTAAAGTTGCGTATCATACATCGACCACCCTCCTACCCCAGTGTAGACCAGCCCTAAGTGATGACTCTGGACTCCAAGTAAGTTATAACAAAGCAGCATTAGTGGCTATTCAGACAGCACTATGGGACGCTGAAGTGCAAAACTATTTGGGAATTGACTATGTTATTTAGGAACTACCAGGAATGAAACTATTTGGCAACTAAATATATAACCCCACAATGCTATGTTGTTCCAATTAGCCATCTGTATTTACTGTAAGTAAATTTACATCTAATTATACAGGTAAGATCTAGCAAAATGGGAGAATTAGTCTCTGACTGTGGGAGATGAATGCCTCGGGGGAGGAACATCCTCCTTGGGTGTTCTACCTTTTCAAGGTCATTGTCAATCTGGAAAAGGAAATTTCTTTGGGATGGAAAAGTTTCACAAGTTCATTGCTGTGTCCAAACAGCTGCATTTCTGTAGCATGTGGACTGGTTATAGAAACCCTGTGCAAAGTCCAGTGTTATTGCTAATATGTTACGACTGAAGCCTCCATCAAGTTATAGAGAAAAGGGAAATGAATATTTTAAATATATACTTATTTCACCTTTAGATAATGGTTGGATTTTTGGGGGGTAGGAAGTGAGGAATGATTGATACAAAACAGGGGAGCTCATGGCTAGAGAAAAAGTCTCAGCTAATTTGGGGTGGCCACTTGGGGACAAGTTGTAAGGTTTCTCCTTTTCCTGCTAACTTGTCTCCCTCCTCTTGAGGACATTAGACTAGCAAGGGGCTTGATTCTGTATTTATTGTACACCGTAAGGGCCTGACGCTACAAATATTTAAGCGTGTGGGGAGTTTTGTTCAAGTTCAGTGCAATGATTTCATGTGGAAAGCGTTAAACCCCATGCTTGAGTGTTTGCAAGATTGGTCCCATAAATGCAGCTACTTGTAAGAGTAAAATCACTCAGACACACAAGTGCTTGAAGAATCAGCAACTCCCATGGAGTTAGTAAGAGTACTGGGAGCAAAAGGAATGAAGAATCAACCTAATGGTTAAAGATTAAGGGGGACATTGTATGGATTGAAGCAGTACTCCGGTTATGTGGATCTTTTGTCTTGTTTTTGTTTCCCCAATCGAGTGGCAATGCTTATCTGACTACATCTGAGTGTTTTGTAAATCATGGCATGATAGTAGCTTCCTGTTAAGTACAAGCACTTCCTGCATAGCAAAGATAATGCAGCATGGGAAGTACTACAGAGCTGTTTATTTTAATGCAAAAGAACCTGGGAACATGGTTGTTTTAAATTATTTTTGCATGCTGGCCCTCGGAAGGAGAGCAACGCCATTTGCCTTTTTGCTATGAATAATCACTTCATTTTTTGGCTGATTTTTTCAGATCCACGGACATGGCAAGAATCAAACTCAGAATAAATGTCCCAGCTCTACAGTATTTTCTCTTTATAGTTCTTAGCTCTGCTTGTGCATTTTAGAAGCACTTAGAGAATTTAATGTGAAAAAACACATTAAAGGCCTTTTTTGTGGTGGGTGACAAAGTTCGGTGTGTTAAAACGAGATGTGTTTAAG